GAACAAATCTCATGCAGGACACTTAATTCATTAAAGAATTCACAATTTGGTAATTTCTTACAACCTGGATCACCAGATTTTCCTTTCCTGCGTTTGAAGGCTTTTCTGTAGTTTGCTGTTATTCTTGTCCATTCACTTTTTAAAATTGCAATATCTACGCAAATATTTTAAAAGAAAGGTTTTTATTTCCTTAAAAACTGCAGTATTACGATAAATTAAATGCATGTACGTCAGTACGTACATGATAAAGCAAATTATATCAACATTTATGAACAAAGTTAAAACAACCTGTGACACGAAGCTATGTAGCATCTTGTCTCCAAGCGTCATCCTTCTTTGGCTTCTCCTTAAATGATCTAGCTGAAACGTCCCATAGGCATGGTCTGTCTCGCACTAACTCTATCAACTGTGTTATTAAAATGATTTTGCTACGACTGTCCAATTTCGTCACATTGATTGTATTTGAAGACATAAAATCAGTTCTTGGTAAAGGACTAAAGTTAACACTGGAATGTGATGGGCCTTGAAGTAATCCTGCGAAACGACGATCCGATATTGTCAAAAAATCGTTGTTGTTTGAATTGTAGACTTCGTTTGTGCCGTCCATGTTGTTTTGAACTCGCAGGCAGCAATGTTCAGGCAGTAGTTCAGGCTAAACATAGCCCGCCGTCTACTTGATTTTGATTGGTTTGCAAAGATATTTTCCAATGAATGAAAGAAAAAAGTTGAAATTTTTCAACTTTCTTTTTTCCTGGCATAGAAAAATATTTCCGACCGAAGATAGAGAAACACGACTAGAGCGCATGCTCAGCTTAAAGAATTTTTTGACAATCAATGAATGTTTGACCGCATTTTCTATAACACTAATATCGGATGACGCATATTTTCCTAAAAACCGTTAAATAGTTCGTTATCATGACAAATTTGATTTGTACAGGCATGTGTGTATTTACATATCAATGACTGATTTTTATCTGTTGGTAATTATAGTAACATCCATCTCTAACACTTTTATTTCGGTCCCTGTCGTAATTTAATCAATCGAACGTAAAAAAATCCATTTTTTTCATGCGTCCATCGAGGAAGCAAAGAATTATTTAACCATTATGTTGCTGTAGTATTACTTATCAACTTCAGCATTATGTCAATCGTATAACTTGCACATTAAAGAGAAAATCGATTATTTTATCTTAAATATATGGTCAGAGAAGGCTGAAGTCATTATAATGTTTTTACGTCTTAGCCAATTAAAGCAAGGAAAGTCTTGCCCTCAACCAATTATGTAGCGTCGGGGTGAAAGGTCTTACACTATTACACTACACTTGGTAAACAATGGTGAACGACAAGGCTTGCTGAAGTTGCTCACTCGGATGTCGAGTTTATTGCGTTATGCATAGCAAAAATAGTGCTAACTCAAAATTAACATCATTTGCATTTGCTTGTTGGTGTATATTTACTTTTTTTACTGCTAAATGAGGAAAACTTTCACGTCATAAGGTGAAATGGAGAAGGAATCCGCTTTAAATTCTTGGGCTAATTGAACATCTTTACGTTGACAATTTGTCTTTCGCTGAAAATGTTCGCTTTTCAGAGTGTTCTACATGCACTGATTGAAAGAGAAGTGCTTATTTGCTCCGTGGTTTGTGAGAAGGTTTATACAGTACACTTTAATACCATCGAAGATTAAAAGGAACAAAAACGCTACAACAACAAATGTAATTTCAATGTACTAGTTTTGCCTGGCTCGAATGAAAATCTTTACAATTTGTAAACTAGTGAGATCTATATAGTGTTTGCTTAATAATGTATCAAAAGTAAAGTATCCTCTAAAACAACGTCCACCATCAAACTGTCCTTTCCTGTTCTTTCTTCGTACACAAGAAATTAAATCATTCACAAGTACAAGAGCATTTTAAAAATCGCATGGATTACGTTGACAAATGTAGTGGTAAGAACGATAGCATGACTCATCATTCCATTTTCCTTTCGGAAAAAATTGGACGCAATTCTCTTTGTTTCCAACATTATTAGGTTCTTTGGGAGACCAATTGATAAACGCAGGCAGGGCATGTTGCATTGTATAAAATTGCTTGTTGTATTTATTACGAAACAAACCAATAAATGGTCTTTGCAGATTTTTTCTTTTGGCAACACTGTAAATGGCGTTATTCTCAACCAAGTTCTTTGGAAGAGCAAGATATCCTCCCATGCGTTGACATTCAAGAATGGCTTTGCTTCCTTTTGTCTTGGTTGTACTGAAGTAGTAGCAAGATTGACGAAGATAAGTCCAACCAGATGGACATCTACTTGCTTCATTTACTAAAACGAGTTAATATAATTACACAAAGGTCAATTAGTACAGAAAAATGTTAGCAATTGAAGAAAAAAATAGTGTAGCAACTAATACCTTGAAAATTATTCAAGTAAATGCATAGAAGAAACAGTAACTTAAACATTTTCGACTTTAGACACAGCAGTGAAATCTTTTGTGAAAAGACTTAAATCACCAAACACCTACCAAGACCAGCGAATGTGTAGGTAATCATTAAGAGGTATTATATATAAGTATTTAGAAGCTACGTCAGAGCTCCTTGCTGAAACAGACAAGAAAACTTCAACATGAATACAATACAATACAAAACAAGTCATTATTATGTTCTTACGTCTTAGCCAATCAAAGCAAAGAGAATCTTGCCCTCAACCAATTATGTAGCATCGGGGTGAAAAGTCTTTCACTACACTTGGTAAACAATGGCGAAAAACTAGGCTTGCTGAAGTTGCTCACTCGGATGACGAGTTTATTGCGTTATGCATATCAAAAGTAGTGCTAACTCAAAATTAACATCATTTGCATTTGTTTGTTAGTGTATATTTACTTTTTTTTACTGCTAAAAGAGGAAACCTTTCATGCTATAAGGTGAAATGGAGCAGGAATCCACCTTAAATTCTGGGGCTAATTGAACATCTTTACGTTGACAATTTGTCTTTCGCTGAAAATGTTCGCTTTTCAGAGTGTTTTGTACCCATACCAGACTTTGCAAATTCCATTGCAATTGTTAAAGTCGGTTTTTCATTGTTCAAATGCTGCGAAGAAAACAGAACAGGCAAATAAGAATGAGAGAAAGAAAAACAGGACGATCAACATACGGACTTTTCAGTTTAGGCGAGTTGTAATTCAGTATATGTGAGATTCTTCGGTACCAGTTGAGTTTCAAAGCCACATTTCCTTTCACTTTGAATTTATTACTTGAAATTTACTTCAAATACTACTCAGAAATGTTGTGATTCTACGTTGCGTATTTTTGATTCGATACGATAAGTAATGCATATATATCGTGTGAATTATTTTACAATGTTGCTTCAAACTAACTAGGGCAATTTGTCATTTCAATATTAAACTATAATTTTGATAGATGGTATTTGAGATGTCGTGTTTGCTTTCTTATGTTCTGCCATTTGCTGATCTTTGTGTCCACTTTTTGAAATTTTGAGCCTTGCTGTTTATTATCCTTTTTATATTGTAATTGGGCTGACATGTCCAACATTTGCAGCTGTTTGCTGTGCACACGACATCTTCGTTCTAGTTTTGAAATATAGCTAGTTGAGCGTTGTACTTCTGCTGTTTTAGTATACTGTACATACAGTATGACAAAGCGCCAAATCTGTACTCATATTGCACGTAATGACGCATACAGGAAGGCTTCTGTATAGAAATATAGACAACTAAGACGCTCAAAGTCATAACTTTCCACGATTGATCAGGACTAAACGGCTGACTTAGCAATTTTATTAACAAACCGAAGCAGAAAAATATACTAGGAGCATGGTATTGATGATTTTTGTTTCAACCAAGCAGAGACAAAATGCCTTTTTTTCGTTTGCTATGTGAAATCATAGCGATTTTTTGTTTCAAGGCGGTGGACATCGCTGTTCAACAACGCAGTCAAACAACGCTCATTTTCTCCTTAATGTGCAACATTTAGATTTGACATACCTTCGGGAAATGATATATATATATTATAAATTACACATGTTGTAAAATTCCGCTCGTTCCTCCATAGATGCTTGCTGATGTTATTTCTAGACAACTTTTTGCGATTGGACCCATAGCCTAATAGTGAGCCTGAGTATTTGACAAGCTGTTTATTTTCCTTTCACTGCAGAAGTATATAATAAAAACTCATTTTCATACCGGCAGTCTAAATATATCCTCAATTTTATTGTCTTCCTTGGAACCAAGGTTTTGAATGCAAAATATAAATCACTTTCACTAATTACTCATTCACTAGGCAGCCTTTATATAGTTAATGGCTAGAAATCATCAATGGAACAACAAAGACTCTTGTTTTTATCATTGAACTAACCACATTTGTATAGCACCCTAGCCAAACTAAAGCTAAAGAAACGCCTATCAGGCCTTTAAACGGGCTACTCGGTTATATTGTGTATTAATGGTATTAAATAGTTGCCAATTTGCACAACGAATTTTAGAGCAATGCAATCTCATATCTGGCAATATATTTATGTAAGTAAATTGTGTTTTGTTATACGTGTAAATAGTTATACTCACGCTTGAAACGATACAAGAAACACTTTAATTGGTTGAAGAACTTTGTATAAGTCACGTAGGATTCATGTAATTTTGCAGCAATATAGAAATATCCGTATTTTAAACTTGGGCTTACCTTTGCTAGCCTGAGTAAAAACAACAACAAGAGTTGGGCAATCATTACCTTGTTCAAACTTGACATGCATGGTCATGAAAGATTTGCGATGGAAAATGTAAATTGAATTAGCTTGGTGATGAAATTGAACGAATTTTTTAAAAACAAATAGTTTGCCAGCATGGTATTTGGCTAACAGTATTTTCAACAGAAAGCTCTTACAAACACCATCTGCATGCACTGATTGAAAGAGAGGTGCTTATTTGCTCCGTGGTTTGTGAGAAAGTTTATGCAGTACACTTTAATACCAACGAAGATTAAAAGGAACAAAAACGATGCAACAACAAATGTAATTTTAATGTGCTATTTTTGCCTGGCTCGAATGAAAATCTTTACAATGTGTAAACTAGTGAGATCTATACAGTGCTTGCTTAATAAAATATCATAAGTAAAGTATCCTCTAAAACAACGTCCATCATCAAACTGTCCTTTCCTGTTCTTTCTTCGTAGACGAAGAAATTAAATCATTCACAAGTACAAGAGAATTTTAAAAATCGCATGGATTACGTTGACAAATGTAGTGGTAAGAACGATAGCATGACTCATCATTCCATTTTCCTTTCGGAAAAAATTGGACGCAATTCTCTTTGTTTCCAACATTATTAGGTTCTTTGGGAGACCAATTGATAAACGCAGGCAGGGCATGTTGCATTGTATAAAATTGCTTGTCGTATTTATTACGAAACAAACCAATAAATGATTTATACAGATTTTTTCTTTTGGCAACACTGTGATGGCGTTATTCTCAACCAAGTTCTTTGGAAGAGCAAGATATCCTCCCATGCGTTGACATTCAAGAATGGCTTTGCTTCCTGTTGTCTTGGTTGTACTGAAGTAGTAACAAGATTGAAGAAGATAAGTCCAACCAGATGGACATCTACTTGCTTCGTTTACTAAAACGAGTTAATATAATTACACAAAGAACAATTAGCACAAAATAATGTTAGCGATTGAAGAAAAAAATAGTGTAGCAACTAATACCTTGAAAACTATTCACGACAATGCATAGAAGAAACAGTAACTAAAACATTTTCTACTTGAAATAGTTTTAGGCAAGATTTAAATCACAAATTTGCTATCTAGTGTAGCGAACGCATACCAATAATTATTTCCCTATGACATGCTCATTTTCTTCAATACGTTGAAGCTCCTTGCTGAAACAGACATTTAAACTTCAAAAGGATTACAAACGATGTAAATTGATCAAAGAATGAAGAGATAATGACAGCTGTACAGCTATTCAAAGCTATGCAGAAATAATCAATGTAAATATTTTTAACAACGAGAGTCCTACATGTTTTCGTCTTTTTTAAAACCATTTTAAACGCAACATGTTATATCATATCATGTGTGTTGATTATTCATTTGATTTATTTGTATTTGCATACTTTAAAAAAATATTTCATTCTGTTGGCAATGAATGTTATCAAAAGATACGGAACACTTTAAGAAATAAAGGCAAGAACGACTATTCATACATGTTCTGGGCCAAAATATTATATAAAATTTTGAACTTTTGAAAAACTAAAGCATTTCTTGCCTTCTAGGTTTAGCAGTATAAAATCCTCTGATTGTTGACGTTTCGACAAGGTCTACAAGGCAAAGAGCATTAAATTTAAAATTTCGCCATCTTATGTAAACATGACCATAACAAGTTTGTTTAAGGAAGGAGAAATTTGCAATTTTAGTAAAGTACTTTAAAGCTAATGCAGAAACATAGTGTTTTTCACATTTCTAGTGACCAACTTGATTCGTATACATTAAAATTTAACAGCGCTTGACGTTGCAATGACTAATCTACCACTCTTCTTGGGACAATGATATTGTACAGTTTATAAAACGGAGTTTAACAAAATAGAAGTAGAAAAGTTGTTTTTGCCAGTTCTCAAATGGCAACATTAAACATTGCAGTCTTTCTTAGCCGAGAATGCCATTCACATGTGCAAGATAAATGGAAAGATTGTACAATTATTAAAAAGCAGCTTTGGGATCTGACTACATTAGAACGATGGTTTGAACTCGGAAATATATCGTTACAAGTTTAGTATATATATTGATCAGCAAATTTTGTGCAATCCCGAGAACGACTGCGGGTATTTGGTTTAAGTATTGTCAGATGGTTCGACACCTTGGTAGCGGCAGTCATCTTCATCGGCTGTATTGGCGTTGTTTATTCCATTTGCCGCGATTGGGATGAGTTTAAAGACATTATCTCTAACTCAGAATTACGAAACAAATTGCTCTTGTGGAAGTAGCTGATTGCATGTACGTTGTAGATGATAAATATGAAATGATTTACCTTACTTTCATGATGTATATCTTGTATGTTTGTTATATTTCTCAAAAATCTATTTTTCGCTTTGCAAATAAAAGACATTTGATCGTATGCATAGATTCAATTTGCATCTTACGATGATTAACATTCAAATCTGGAGACATCTTGTCAACATAAACACGTGAGAGATAAATTGAAGTTGTACATGTACAGCCTTGTGTAAACATGACTGTCGCCTTTCGCTTTAGCCATGGACAAAACAATTACAAAACTGTTCTAACAATTACAAATCCTAACAATTAATTACAATATTTCATTTTTCCATCAATGGCAAGAAAAAGATGTTGCCTAAAATCTTTCAAACTAAGCAATTATTTGAATGAAAATGATGTCTTCTAAAAGAAATGAGGTGATAACCACAGTGAGTGTAGGATTGTGAGCGAGATTTTAGAATATGGGCATCGAAGCTAATGATGATTCAGTTAAATAAAACAAAAAGCAACTGATGATGATTCAGTTAAATAAAAGAAAACACAACTTAGAAGAAGCAAGACATCTTGAGATTGCAAAATATGACTCAAAACAAGACGAGAAATAAACTGTAAATTTTCGACTTTATTTCAAAGTCATCCTAAGACAGAATGGCTTTATTTCAAAGTCATCCTCATCCTCGACTTTATTTCAAAGTCATCCTCAGACAGAGTTTATGCAGTGTTCTTGGTAATCTGTAACTTCTCCTCTAATTGTCTCACGGCGACTAATCTTTTATGTCAACTGACATGAGAAAACCCTGACAACCATTGAGTTTGAAAATGACCTCGAATATACTTTTAAATAAAGTTTCCTGTCCAATTGTCCAGCTACATTGCTGTTTTTTAGGATTTCGTTGACTTCAAGTTCAGACATAGTAGAGGAAAATGATAGTTTTCGAAAACAACATCGACCAGATCTCCTTCAACTTGTCTAATCATATATAGTTAACTTAAACTTGGTCGATTTCATTGTTACCTAAGATTTCTGTTAAGAAGTTAATGGCAAGAACAAGTAAAATTGCTTCAAATTATGCCTTTTACGCATTTGTAATTCAAAAGTGAAATTCCAAACCGTATTTTTTCCCGACCACGAAATTCTTCACTTTCGTTTGGTAAACTGAGATTTCAGCTACATCAAAAGCATTGTCGTCTATATTCTTTCCCGGTGAATGTATTGGCCTAAGTTTCTTATATCAAAACACGACTTCTAGAACTGCGTTGTTTTAATAACATGCAAAAGTTATAGACCTATAATGCCTTATTGCAGGTAATTGCAGGGTTAACCCAGGCTATTCTTCTCATCTGCATTACAAGATTTTTTCAGTAGAAGTGTAACAACCAAAGAATTACTAAGGTGCTGAAGAACATTTATTTTCAAACAGAATTTGTAATACCTGTTATCGTCAATGTCTGTCATGATAAGATTAAGCCTGGATCAGCAGTAATAAAAATCCACTACTGCTGACATCTTGACATGCAAGATCTACTTGAAAAAGATAAAAATTGTGAGATACACCAAGAAGTGGGATGCACCTTTTTGTGGAAACTACCACATAAAAGAAATGCCAAAATGATATCTTGTTTGTTTTTTAAAAATTCTATATAATTGACTGTAAACTATAGATAACAAGCGGAAGGTCGAGAAATTTTTTTTGCAAAGCAGTCATGTCAGTGCAAATACCTCCGTTGGTCGCAGATTTTTTAGCGTTCTCGACCCAGTACAATTAGTCTCTCAAGGTATTATAGAGCTCAATGATTTTATAACGATTAAAACCGATGTTTCTGTGTCATCAACACTATGCATAAATTATAACGTATTATAAAATAAACACGATTAAACGCGTTCACTGATTGGTCTAGAGCTGTGTTTGATTTGGCCTGTGCAAAACACATCTGAGCTCAACCAATCAAATCAATCAAAACAAACAATCAGTCCAAGAGAATTTGCAAATCGACCATCAATACATTTTAGAGGAAAAAAATTTTTTTTTTTTTCGCATTATTCTTATTATATAAAAAAAACAAAAGATGTTTTTCGTGTTGGCACTGGCTTATGCAAACCGCGGAGACGTTTGTGAGAACTTTAGAGCATGTGCAACCCTCGCCCTACAGGCTCGGGCTTACGCTGATCTGCTTTAGAGTTCTCTCAAAGGCCTCCTTGGTTTGCATAAGCCCATGCAAACACAGTAAAAAATCTTTTATTTCTTAAATGAAACACTTACCCAAATTGATCGGAATTTTACAGTTTTATGTTGTAGATATGGAAACCATAGTAAAATTAATACAATTTTCTGTAAGTAGATGAAATTTTAGTTTTTTTTACAAAAGTTCGTGCTGTTTTGAGCAATCAGTAAATATTCCTTCTCGAATATTTTTTAAAGCGGAACGTGCGTTGCTATGGCGATACATTCTTATTGTCGTACAAAAAAACCATAGCTTAAACAGCCTTTTATTTTTATAAAACAAATCCATTACTTTATCTTAAGAAAACAAATGATACTGAGTCGATTCCCGGTGGTTTGGTTATCATAGGATGCATAGCACCGGAGATATTGATGCCGGTCGGCTTTCTAATTATTAGAGAGTCAGATTTGACTACGAGTACGACTACCGCTACGCAATTCGTCATTTGCGTGAGAACTACGTGATATTTTGCTGTCGTAACCATTGAGTTCTATAAAAACCATTGAACGGAACACATGGAAGGCTATGTCAGTCTATATTTTGAAGCCAGTAGAACCCAGTCTCCTTGTATTGTTTAACACACAGCCGATAGACAAAAGCGAAAAAATAACTTGTACAAACTACACTCTAAAAACATCCTGGTTAAAAATAACCAGGATGGGGTTAAATCTTAACCAGGAAAGTATTCCAAATGGGACCAACGCAATCCTTGTTATTTTAACAAGGAATCGGGGTTAAATTAATTAACCTTTATTCTTGTTAAATTCAACCACGACCTAATGTTAAAATTTTGACTCTTATCCCAGTTAAAATTAACTAGTTGCCTTGTTAAATTCCTGGGTGATTTTTAGTGACTCATTAAGAGAGTATATTTATGCTCAAAAAGTATATTTATTTAAGAAAAAACATTGCACGGAGACAACTTACATTTAGTAAAAACTAAAAACAAAAGATAGACAAGTATCATGTATATTAGCAACAGGTATATGCAATAGCTGGAGATGTTTAGACTTACATCAGTATATTTTCAGCGTTAATGGTCTGAAAACTTTAATGTTACTCTCATTGCAACAATAGCAGACGTAGTCTTTTGTTTTCCCTGTCTGTTTACCATGGTCCTCGATGCCATACAAAACGTTTGCATAAACTCCCACGACGAACAGCTCTGCCATGGGTAATTAACGTTAAGTACGTAAAATAGTTTAAAGCAAACATCAATTGCCCTCACAAGATTGAGCTGCTCCAAGCCCTGGCTTTCGATTATAACGAACACTTGCGTTGGGCTGCATCGACTACCAATTTCTAAACCAAACGGTTATCTTGAGGCTGTTTCTAAATATTTAGGTATGTTTGTAACGACCTAAAAATAATTAAACAGTACACCTGACACTTTAGATCAAATACACGAGTTTGACTATGCGACTACTTATATGGTGTATCTAAAAGTGACAATATATAGCTACTCTTGGAAGAAACAAGCAGAAAAAATAAAATCCAAAAACTAAGCCAAATTTTTAGTGATTTTGCTACTTTATTGTTCTCTAGCAGAGCTGGTACCGAAATTTTTGAAAATGGTGATGATCTAGCATTTGGTGCAAAACCTTAAGTACATGCATGTATTGACTTTCGTTTTTTTTTAATAATGGATTTTTGTCACTGTTTCATAGAACTTAAGGAAAACTTTCTCAGAGAAAAAAAATGCTCATGTTTTCAAACATTTTACTGCCAACAGCACGAGATAACGCTATAAAGTACTAAAACTCAATAATGGTTTGTTATATCTATTTTTTGCAATGGCATCAATCCTGCTTTAATGCGGGGGGACAACCATATTCATGTACTCATATACCAGTCTAATTTCTTTTCAAAACA